CTCCGACATACATACATAAGTCGTCTACCTAGTAGAAGTGGAGGATAGGGCCAGAGGGGCAGACGACAGATATCCAATAATGGGAAGAGAAAAAAAAATGTATGATACATCAAATACATAGACTACATACATATCATATGATACATACATGGTACCATTTTTTTTTTTTTTCCCTTCAAAACATGCTCGACACCAACTCTCTCTTACCGATCGCCGCTCGAACGGGCGCCTTCATCTCCGCCGATGCGCCTGCCTCCTCCTTCGCCTTCTTGACCGTGTCTTTGTGGCAACTCTCGAGGTGATTGTTCAACCCAGTCGTTCCCGATCCTCTCTTGCCGCCAACCGATCCCCTCAGAAGGAGCGGTGAGTGTGACCGTCACGTGCTTGCCGCGGCCGGCGGCAACCGTGGTTTCAGTGTCGGGTGGTGGGGGTTGCAACATTGGACCGCTCACGACCACCGAAGAATCGCCCGAAGCAGGCGCCGCCACACCAGCAGAAGAACCAGCGTTCGCAGCCTCTACACTACCATTAGAAGTAGCATCAACACTCGCTTCTTCTACATTGCTCATGGTTCTGCTGGGCCACACGCACTGGCTGGACCACACGCGCCACTGTGTGGTGGGCCGACAGCAGCAGTCGACAGCAGCAGCAATAAAAAAGAGGTTCTGCCCAAAAGGAACAAAATACAAAATACAAAAAGAACAAAAGAACCCCTTTCCAAGGAAAAACCAAAACAATAAAAGAAAAGAAAAAAAGAGGTGTGCACAGTGAGAACTGAACCTGGGTCCGTAACATACTCAAGTCTTGAACGTGCATACGTTCTACCTGCTGGCCTAGCGTTTGTGGGCAATAGTGTTTTACCCTGTATATTTTTGCCGGTACTCCATATGCCGGTACTTTTTTGGCGGTTGGCAATATGGCGGTACTTTATTGGCGGTAACGAATATGCCGGTACTTTTTTGGCGGTTCTGTAAATGGCGGTATTTTTTCGGCGGGAAACGGTACTTGATTTTTCAGCGGTACTATTTTGGCGGTTGGCAATATGGCGGTACTTTATTGGCGGTAACGAATATGCCGGTACTTTTTTGGCGGTTCTGTAAATGGCGGTATTTTTTCGGCGGGAAACGGTACTTGATTTTTCAGCGGTACTATTTTGGCGGTTGGCAATATGGCGGTACTTTTTTGGCGGGAGGCGGTTTCTGTTTTTTCGGCGGTACCCGCCTTCGGCGGCAACCGTTGCCGGTAGCCCCAATTTTGGCGGTATACCGCCTAGAACCGGATCCGCCTACCGTGGGCGGTAATATACGTCGGGAAAACTCCCGAGGAATACCCTGGAAAATTTAGACATTTTTCAAAGATTTGGTGACCATAAACATGGGCCTCACCGATCGGCAAATTAAATTTATTTCTGGATGATGAACATCTACCGGCCCCCACGGAATTTTTTCGAAATCCGGACACGAATAGGCGCAAGTCTAGGAAAACCCATAAACAACCTACTAGGTATCTGCTGCCTAAACTCCATAAGGATAAGGTAGCTTGTCGAAGTATAACCACATGCTGTGCTACTACTACGGAAGGGGCGGAAAGAATAGTGCATACGTGTCTAGCTGAAATGATCCCATTTGTGATGCATTGTGAAGAAGAGAAGTTGGAAGCTCCATTGGAATTGATTCCCCCACCCAGTAGTTGGATTACTGAAGGTAGGTGGAGAAGAAATCCTGGAGATTTTATCTGAGGCAGACCAGATGGCACGTTCGACTGGTGATTCTGCCCCACATGTTGTGGAAACATATGACTTTGTTGCCATGTATACTAGCATACCTCTGTCTACTCTTCTTTTATTTCAATTGAAAGAATTCATTGATTTGGTGTTTGACTTCCAATTTCGTGATTCTGGATACCGTTCAATTAATGCACAATATGGCTTCAAGAGTAGTTGTCCTTTCATCATCAAAGAAGAAGTACATTGATTGAATATTTTGAGAGAGCGGCAGCTAAGTTGATGAGAGATATATTAACACACCATTACAAGGCGAATCTTTTAGGCACTAAGCTACATAATTNTCTTTTATTTCAATTGAAAGAATTCATTGATTTGGTGTTTGACTTCCAATTTCGTGATTCTGGATACCGTTCAATTAATGTACAATATGGCTTCAAGAGTAGTTGTCCTTTCATCATCAAAGAAGAAGTACATTGATTGAATATTTTGAGAGAGCGGCAGCTAAGTTGATGAGAGATATATTAACACACCATTACAAGGCGAATCTTTTAGGCACTAAGCTACATAATTTTCGTCAGGTCTTCTTTAGGAAATCAGCATACATGTCAGGGATTCTTGGCGTACAGAAGCCAGAATACAATTTTGGCATCAAGTAGAACGTAAGATTTGGTATCTTGTTTACCATGGGGTCGATTTATGACTTTTATTTTCTTGACTTGTGGGGGCAAGGGTAGATGAAGAACAAAATGACAGGAGCTCACAGTTTTATTGAGTGCAGTAGGTGGCCCGATATTGTGGCATATAGTGGCCAGACAGAATTGTGCCACTATTCAGGGCAGTGCCACTATTCGATATAGTGGCATTTTTGCCACTATTAGACAGTCGATAGTGGCAATAGTGCCACTATATCGAATAGAGAGCTTCGATGTTCACGCTATACACTCATTATGCGCTGTAAAGCCGTGTAAACTGTTCCACTCCTCGTGGTTTATTTGTGTGCAGCAGTGTCCGCATGAAACACATGAAATGGCCGTTGATTATCCAACGGTTACCGAGCCTTGTGTGGTCAAGACCTGTTTTTTCTGTGCAGGCAGACCACAGGAACCACGTCCNCATGAAATGGCCGTTGATTATCCAACGGTTACCGAGCCTTCTGTGGTCAAGACCTGTTTTTTATGTGCAGGCAGACCACAGGAACCACGTCCAAACGCATTGTATCATAGGTGGCATATCATTTTTTTTTGTCCGGCGGGCAGTGTAACATGGGGTTCAACACTACGTGTAGAACGCATGGAAACAGCAACGTAGAGACAGACGCGAAACTAACTGAAACAGCCCTACAGCACTAGAAAAATCAAACACCCCCACCCCGGCGCATCAATCCAACCACCACGATGCTCTGCAACTGTAGGCGTCAGCCGACTGATTGCACCACGAGTCGGCAAACACTCTAATGTCCAACTGCCGTGCCGGTCTAGCGAATGTAGTTGCCAAGAATGCCATTTTCGCCTTGCGGAGAAGGTGCCCGGCGTCACCAATGCCACACGACTCTGCGTATTGTTCTAGAGGACCAAAAAAATCAGCCAGCTCCGCGAACGACGGCGGCGCCTTCTTCCCACCACCCCCCGCACTCTCAGAATCTTTGGCGCTGTCTAGCTCGTCGTCGTCGTCAGAAATGTTTTCGTCCTCCTTGAAAGTGTTGTTAACATTTTCCATGAAAATCTCCTTCGCGTCTTCAGACAGAGTTTCAGCAAACTCGGGTTGCTCCTCCAACCCGGCCTCTTCGCCCTCCCGATGATCGCCATGGGAACCTTCGCCGTCCCGGTGGCGAGGGTACACATGTAGGCCGACACACGGTCTTTGGCCTTCATCCCCTTCGTGCCCCTCGCCGTCTTCCGCTTCTCCGTTGTTGACAGGTACGTGCGCTTCGGCAGCAGTCTGTAGTACATGCCAGTCTCGTCCACGTTGAAGATGTTCTCCACCTTGTACTTCGAGCACGCCCGCCGGATCGCCGCCATGCCTTCGGCGGCGGCCTCGGAATCGAGGCTACCGGCCTCGCCGTGCAGCACAAAACTCGTCAAGTTGTGGCGATTCACCAAATTGGGCACCCACTTCTCGCTGGCGGCAAACATCCGCAGCCTCTCTTTGGCGTCGGCTGGAGTTGACGGCGCCGCCACCAGCTTGTCCCTGACGGCGATCCCGAACGACTCGATCGTGGCACGCGTGATAGGCAGCGGCACTTTCGGCGCTTCCTCTATCAAGGCCAGGACGTCTTTCTCCAACTGAAGAAAATTACGAGAATTATTGGGGACAGAAAACGGAGCACGTGAGTCGCGCAGCAGTAGAGACACAGCCCGACATGCAATGTAACTACTGCTTACGCCGTGTCCGGTGAAGAGAACACTCGACGGTACATACTGTACGCATCATTCGAAGCAAGGATTGTTAGCCTCCAAAATAAATCGTCACGGGTCGCAGTATATAATTTCGTACGTGTCACGCACGTTTCGCGGGTTAAAGAACTACATATGTACGACGACAGTCGCAGGAGGAACAAGACCCTCAAGACACAAAACAAAACAACACACAGATGAATTGTAAAATGTAGATTTACCTACAGATGTTTTTGTACTTAGCACCAGCTGGCATCACTGATAAATCATCAGTGTATAGACTTATAAAGACTCGGAATAAGTCCAGTATCCAGCCGGTTTTCCTCCACTTACTGAAAAGACTCCACCACATCCCGTTCGACTGTGGGTATATCTCGAATGGGTAGTCTCTCTGTACGTGTATTTATTTCTCCTTGAAGGTGCGTCCACTGTTTTTTTTTTCCCGCTTTTCGAGTTTCCGAAATTCCTTCTTTCCACGTTTCACCGCCTGGCCTTGATGGTGAAAGACAGAAACGTGGAAAAAAAGGTCCGCCACACACGTAGGCCATACACATACCATTGGGTTGGAATAGGAGGACTACGGCAAGGCGAACCACAGAGAAACGTACCGCCACGAAGAAGACGAGGGCAGCGAGCACGTCGCGGAAGGCCGGGGATGCTGCGGCGTCTGGATCGCCGGGCGTGGTGAAGAAGGTTAAGCGAGCGGCGGCCAAAAAGGCAGGAGCGTCCTCTCAACCACAGGGTCTGCCTCCTCGCCCTCCCGCGTGCGGCGCTACTCGCGGCTCTGTGCGGTCCGCGGGCGCCACGCTGTCCGCGCTCGGAGATAAGCCCCCCGGTGATGCAGGGGATGATAGGAGGACTTCGCCGAGGAAGGGCAAAGATGCTGCAGGCGGGGACAAGGAGAGCGTCGCTGCAGCGGCGCTTTTGGGTCTTCATGCGCCGGGCGTCGAGGAAGGCCCCTTCGTGCAAGACCATGATGCAGGACTCTCCGGCGACAAGGGATCCCTCCCTGCTTCACCGGCAGCATCAGGTCGGGTGTTGCGTGGGTCATCGCTGCCGCAGGGTGGATATCGTGCGCTAAATGGTAGCCCTGCTCGGGGCGACTCGGGGGTGTGTTATGTTAGATATATACAACCCGGAGCTGGAAAAAGTAGCGGGTAAAGTCTTCCTTGCATATTTGTATTTTTTAGTTATTATTCCTCTTGGTCGGTTGCTTGTCTGGTGCTTCCCTTCTGTCATGTGCCACTCGCTAGGAATGGTAAACGAGGACTGTGTTTTCGGAGGGTGATTCACCTGTGNTTTACAACCCGGAGCTGGAAAAAGTAGCGGGTAAAGTCTTCCTTGCATATTTGTATTTTTTAGTTGTTATTCCTCTTGGTCGGTTGCTTGTCTGGTGCTTCCCTTTTGTCATGTGCCACTCACTAGGAATGGTAAACGAGGACTGTGTTTTCGGAGGGTGATTCACCTGTGACCATGTGCGGCGCTGGCGTACTTGTAGGATGTTTGGTTCGTGGATCATTGTTTGCGACGGCCACAAGTTGCAATGTGAACATGACAGGGCGTTTAATTTCTTTAGGTGCGGACTGCGATACGCACCCACGCTCTATGGCTCGGGCTTCGAAGTTTTGGTTTGCGTCCAGGAACACGAGACATCCTGTGCAGCTAAGTCCGTTGGCTTCGACTCAACCTGGCGGTTCTTATAAAATATTTTGTTTTTTTTCCTCGACGTTCACCGTATCATGACACTTGTTACTGTGCGGCGGGGTGCCCCTCCTACAACATAATACATACGCACGTTCTCCCGTTGTGTCGACACACCTTTAGTAGGCTGGTGCTGCAGGGCTTGTGGGGTGCAAAACGTCTGGACATAAGCGCACCGTATGCATCGAATAATTGACGCCCACTCGGCCACTGCTGTAGTCAAAAGGCTTTATTTTGTATTCGGACATTATTGGTCTCCGTTACAACGTTACAAGCCTACCTGATGCACACCCTAATGGTGCAAACATTCAACCGAATCTCAACGTTTGATGCTAAGGTTAAGTGGTAACACCACCCTATTGCACGATTCGCCCCTAGCTCGCTCATTTTACTCCATATCACAATACCTCCTGTCCTCTAAATGCCCCAACACTTGCGCGGGTTGACTCAACGTGAACTCATATGGAGCAGGCCACATGTATTCCACACAATAAGTGATCCCCGGGCGGCCTGTCCCCTGTCCCCGTAACCATACTCTAGCCAAGGAAAACTCAAGACAAAAACACAAAGGTAGACATAACAGATTATAACCCCACGAGTCTCAGTGTATCAACGCGCTGTGCCGTTGTTCCTCCTCGCACGCCTCTCGTCTTGTAAGCGTGCTTGGTCCATTCGCGAGCCTGCAGCTCCCCACTCCCTCTGCAGGAAATTGCGGCGGAGGTAGTCGACCTCCCTGGCCCTCTCAGAATCGAAGGGGCCGGCACCCTGCGACAGTGCGCGTCCAGTGCCGTTCCTCGTCGGGGCGT